GCGTGCTTAGATTCCGCTGGGAAAGGACGCAACTTTATGGAAGAGCATGTCAAGTTATAAATGTCTAATGGAACAATCGGCGCATTGAAAAGGTCGAAATGAGGATTTTAGATTTTCCGCTAATTTATCAGTCTGTCGGGAAAATAACGGCGCACGTCAAACTGAGATAAGCTAAAACAGTCCGGTGAATTGGATTGGCAATTTGCTAAAAAAAGACGCGAAAAAACGTTTGTCGTGGAAGGAATGGGGAACTTTTGGGGTGAGAGAGTACGCTTTTGCGCGTCTTTTTTCTCTCTTTCTCTAGAAATCAAGACGAAATGTAAAAAACCGATAGCGAAGAGTCCATTCCGGTCACCGAACTCCTCAGTTTGACGTGCGGCAGATCGTCGCGCACTGGAGTCGCTCATCATCGCTTTGTGACGGCGGCCGCAGCTGGAGATTTGGTGCGCGATAGCGGCGAGGCGAGACATCTTGCTGCAACCGCCCTCCGTTATTTTCCCGGCATACTGACAATGTGAACTCGTAAAACATCTCGCCTCGCCGCACCAAAATCCGGTCGCGGCTAGCCGTCGCAAAGCGATGATAGGCGATTCCAAGGCGCGATGAATCCACGTTGTTTCCCCGACCTATAAACATTACATCACTTTGGCCACACAATAAAATCTGAAGCTTTTAACTTGCGCTGGCAGCCGCCAAGAAATTGTATCATGAAAACTCTTGCAAACGATGGAAAATTTTTCCACCGTCGTCAAGAGGCACAAGCTATTAGATTTCCCGGATATACTAGTCCTTCCAGAAAGTGCGTAGACTTTTTTCGGCCTTTTTTCACATCGCAAAGTGTGTGTTGCGCGACTCTATCCTTTTCGAAACATTTGGACTATGCAATTTTTTGAGCGCCCAAGATTTGCGAAGGAAAGCTTGCGCCGCTGCGATATTGCACTTTCACGGCGCGAAAGGTCAAATGCTTTCCGCAAAAAGGGGTTTTGTCCATGATGCAGCACACAAAAACAGTCTACGCACTTTTTGAAAAAAACCTAACAGTCGCGCCATAAAGTCCCAACCAGAGATTGCCACGGTCGAAATTTTGGCTCCGGTTCTTAGCTCCCAGAGCCGGAGCCGAGGCCAAGTTTTCAGCTCCGGCTCTTGGCTCCGTGAAAAATTGAAAAAGGCGTCCGGCTCTGGCTCTTGGCTCGGGCCGGAGCCGCTCAGAGCCGGAGCGAAGAGCCGCCTCCGGAGCCGTGGCAATCTCTGGTCCCAACACATTTGTCGCGGTTGTCGCGTTCGAAAATTGAAGCGGGCTCGCGTCGAAAGCGCATATCGCTAGAGCAAAAAAACGACCGTATCGCAGGAGAAACAAATCTAGACTTGTATATGTTAAGAGTTTCACAGTCTTGCTTTGAGCACTTTTCGTTCCGAAAAACACTCAAAAATGTTCGCTGACCGTTGATCATCTCGCTGTTCTCTCATTCCAGTTATTGTTTGTTGCGTTTTCGTAAATGTCGTTTCAAAATCGTAGTATAGTAAAAACCTCAAGCTGTTTTCACCGTATTACAGGCGAAGCATCAACTCTTCCACCCTCTCTGTTCTTTGTTTAGATCAGAGAATTTGGGTGTTAGCAGAGCAAACTTTTTGACGAATAGGATAGGAATTATCATCACGTTGGTCGGTCACATTGCCTCGGCAAATCAGACATCCGACGATGTTTTTCCCTGTCCAGACATCCGTCGGTGTTTTCTGATTCTCCTTTTTTTAATTATACTAATAAATACGTACAGTATTTAGAGTCGACGTCGTCTGTGACATCAAGTACAATCTGTGTGGCATACATTCGCGAGAGAAAACAACAAATTTCGAATTGAAAGAGAAAACAACAAATTTCGAATTGAAATAACGAAACCCGCATATAAAACTGTCAAGATTGGTGGGAAAATAATGAACACTCATTATTTTCCCGACAGAGTAATATATACTACGTTTTTCCAAAAGTGCGTTGACTTTTTTGCGCCCTGACTTTTCGGGTCGACGACAGTTGGAGAACACGAAATCGACCGACGCGGGACGTCGGGCGGGTGGATACCCAGAAAGTGTTGTAGGAAGTGCTTACGAGGCCTGTCAAAGCCTTTGGATGGTCGGAGGACGCTCGGCGAAGGCCCGGCGGAGACTTGGCGAAGGCTTGCAATATGTCCACTTTTTCTAATCTTTCTATAACAAATACAGTCAAACCTTTCTATAACAAACACTTTTTTTTTGTTGATTGCTAATCTGCTCGTGAAGTCGCTGGAGTGATTTTTAGCGTTTGCACAGTGAAGAAGATGTCAGCGTGGTGAATATAGTCCAAAAAAACGTATTGTATGATGCAAAAAGTCGAGAATTGCCCAGTGCTGATTGGGCCCGGTTTTGTCCCCACCCCGGTTTTGTCCCCAAGACGGTTTTGTCCCCAGGACGTTTTAGTCCCCACTTTTTTCGAGCCTTTTTGTCCCCAGACCGGTTTTGTCCCCAGGACGGTTTTGTCCCCAGGACGTTTTTGTCCCCACTTTTTTTATTTTTTTGTCCCCACACCGGTTTTGTCCCCAGGACGTTTTTGTCCCCAAGCTGGATAGTACGATTAAAAATTATGCATTCAGATGTTAATGCTGTTGGTTTGGTGCACAGTACTGCTCAAACAACATGTTCTTAGCACTTGGTACTGTATGGTACAAGGTGGTACTATATAGCGCGAGGTAAAAATTAAGCCATAGCGCGTTAATGCTGTTGGTTTGAAGCCCCGCACTTCTCAAAATGTGGTTTTAGCACATGGTACTGTATAGTACAAGGTGGTACTATATAGCACAAGGTAAAAATTAAGCTATAACGCGTGAATGACGTTGTTCTGGTATGCCGTACTGATCAGACCTTCATTTTGTGCAAAAACAAATTCGTGCTATACAGTACCATGTGCTAAAACACATTTTTGAGAAGTACTGGGCTTCAAACCCATAGCATTGACGTGTTATGGCTCAATTTTTACCTCGCGCTATATAGTACCACGTTGTACCATACAGTACCAAGTGCTAAGAACATGTTGTTTGAGCAGTACTGTGCACCAAACCAACAGCATTAACATCTGAATGCATAATTTTTAATCGTACTATCCAGCTTGGGGACAAAAACGTCCTGGGGACAAAACCGGTGTGGGGACAAAAAAATAAAAAAAGTGGGGACAAAAACGTCTTGGGGACAAAACCGTCCTGGGGACGAAACCGGTCTGGGGACAAAAAGGCTCGCAAAAAGTGGGGACAAAAACGTCCTGGGGACAAAACCGTTTTGGGGACAAAACCGGGGTGGGGACAAAAACGTCCACTACGCCAGTGCTAACAGGGGAAGTACTCCAAGTGCGACGCTCAGATTTTCTTTAAATTTTGCATACACGTCGGGTATGGACTAAATATCAATTCCTGAATGTTTTAGCTTGCGCTTTGCGGGCGCCGCCGAGATATTGAACGATTTTTGCCGCCGAGAGAGCACGCTAAACGTGGAGAGCGGTCAGAGAGAAAAACGCTTTTTGGCCATAACTTTGGCAGTTTCGTGCGGAAAAATTTGATTTTTTGTAGAAACATTATCCTTTACGGTTGAAATAGGCATGAAACTTTTTGTGCCGAAATTCAGCAAAAAGTCCTAAATTTTGGCCGACTTTCAATCTAAAAATCTCTGTTGTTTCTGCAAAGCGAGAGCTGGGATTCTCGCATATATCTTAGAAAAAATTATTCTAAATTTGTGCCAAGTTTCATCAAAATCTGTGCGTCGCACTTGGAGTACTTCCCCTGTAAGCAACCTTTTGTTTCCGCATAGTGCATGTCGCCGAAATCGCTCTTTGAACGGACTACCAGTCTGTCGGGAAAATAACGGCGGAATCGCCCATCATTGCTTCGCGACGGCCAACCACAGCCCGAAATTTGCTGCGCAACCCGCAATTATTTTCCCGAGAGGCTGATAGTACTGACCGAGATATTAACGCGTCGCTGCGAAAATTGCAAAAAAGTGATTTGCACATTTTTGTTTATTTTTCCGTACGTCGCCATTTTTCGCAGCGACAAATCATTTTTTCAGAGTGCGATAAAAGAAAAAATCCGCATTGTGCAAAACCGTCTAGACTGTTTTTCTTCGGATGGTACAGTTTGTTACACCTACATTTGACTGTAATTTGTCTACTGATACAACTCCCTCAAAAAAATTGTTGCTACAATGTATTAAAACCCGATTGATTCACGCATATATACATACATACGCACATAAAACCACTTTCGTATTTTTGCCTTTGGCCGAACGCTTGTTATCGTACGCGGAAGAGGCCTGCCCTCAAGATGACCCGCATAAAAAATGATGCAGCTATTAGCCTTTGGCTTATCCCATCTTATATTTGCGAAGCGTTTGTATGCGGGTGCGATGGATGGAAAACTGTTGTTTTGTGTTTCAGAAAAGGGATACTGGGGATATGATAGCCCAACTCAAAATTTGTATTCCCCGCTTAAGCCGACAAAATGGCTATCACTCTCAGTTAATTCCAAGGAATTGATTACGAACCAGGTGATCGCAATGGACCCTCCGTGCAACAATGTGTCATATACAATGTCAGATGAGCAATGCCAAAGGTCACACGAGTCGGTATACGGCCATGTGTAAACTCCGTGCAACAAAAAGCCTTATATCATTCTGTCGAGAAAATAATGATGAGAACGGATCGACACGCGGAAGTAGGGGTAAAAAACTGATATCTGGACTGTGGCTGATATGCGCACCAATTTAGAATAACAAAACTCTCTGCGTCGCGCTTGGAGCACTTCGATTGACAGATTTTAACAAAAAAATTACATAGTTGCGGCGCTGAAACAACAAAAAACTTAAGTTTTTCACCCTGTCGGGAAGATAATGAGTATAATGTTGCTGCGCCAATTTTTTATTAACTCTGCTAATTTCTTAATGATATGGGATTAAGATGAAAGCATTCACACGGATGTGCTTTCTTATTGACGAAAGGAAGAAGGAGTTGGTCTGTTGTTGGCAACCAAGTTGTCCGGAGTGATTGGTCGTTCATTGACAAGGACACTATCTGGGTCCGGCGTGATCGGTCTGCCGTTAACCGCAACACTGTCGGGGTCCGGGGTGAGCGGACGTCCGTGAACGGCAATGGTGTCGGGGTCCGCAGTAATTGGTCTGCCGTTGATTGCAAGGCTGTCGGGGTTCGGAGTGATTGGTCTGCCGTTAACCGCAACTATGTCGGGGTCCGGTGTGATCGCTCTGCCCTGAATATTAACACTATCAGGAGCGATTCGTCTATCATTAACGGCAACACTGTCAGGGTCCGGAGTGACCAGTCTTCCATTGACGAGAACACTATCAGGGTCCGGAGTGATCGGTCTGCCGTTAACCGCAACGCTATCAGGGTCCGGAGTGATTGGTCTGTCCTTGATTGAAATGCTGCTATTGGTGTCTGGAGTGATTGCTCTTCCATGGACAGCAACGGTGTCGGGGTCAGGAGTAACCGGTCTGCCATGAACGTGAACACTATCAAGAGTGATCGGTCTGCCGTGAACGGCAACGGTTTCGGGGTCTGGAGTAACTGGGCGTACGTGAACGGCAACGGGGTCCGGAGTGATTGCTCTTCCATGAACATTAACATTGTCCGGAGTGATCGGTCTGCCGCTAACCGCAACACTGTCTGGGTCTGGAGTAATCAGTCTGCCATGAACATTAACACTGTCCGGAGTGATTAGTGGTTTATCGATTCCAACGCTGTCTGGCGTGACATGTTCATCGTGAACCTTTACGCCATCTGGAGTTACTGGACGACCCCAGCTCCCAATAAACGGAAAAGCTTGAGAGATGGCCAGTAAAAGTGCCAAGACAACAAGTACTTTCATCGCCAACTCGGTTCTGTTAATATTTCCAAACTGCCTTTATCTTATATACCTTCTTTCAAGGCCCTTAAAGGACCAAAACAACTACATTTGAACGCGGATTTTTACGGCTTGGAGGTGCGCCTCGCCAAAAGTTGCGAAAATCCCGCGAAAAAAATAAATACAAAAAATAATTGAGAATTTCTCTCGAACATGTTGTTGACAAGAAGAATTGAGGTTTTTATTCATGTTCAAAAGCTGGGAACAAGGCTGTTTGGTCTTGTGGATCGAGACAATACCCCTTCAGACGCTTTTGGGGAACACTGATGTAAGTTTTTTTTGATTTCGACGGTTTTTTTCGCATTTAGGTAGATGTGAAGGAAATTGTGCAATTTTTTTGATGTCCTTTGAAAAACGGCATGCGCGCAATGTTGAGGAGTAGGTGTTGGACTCAACGCTTTTGTGCCGGCGATTTTCTTACCTAGTTCGACCTGTTTTTACCCATTTTGAGGTGTTTTATATTGTTTTAGTCAAGTATTTTAATTCCAGAGTAGTTCAATCTTCTTGAAGGACGCGTGAAGAAGAATTCTCCAAAGAACCACCTTGACATCAAGATTCGAGACATCTATGGATTTGTAGGTAATGTCTTTTTTATTTGTTTGCTTAAATGCTACATTTAGTTTACACTGGGACTTGTGTTCGTGAGCCAATGGGTCCTGTGCAGGAGACGAAAACGGGCAGAACATCACCGGATGTACCAACAACTGCAGAATTTTAAACATTCAACCTTCGTCTGATGTTTTATTTATGCTTTAGACAATAAAAGATTAAGTTAGATTCCTTCGGTTTGAAGTACATTTCAGATAAAGAAGCGTTGACGTTAGTCACAATTCCGCGTGGTCCAATAGTTCCTTCGTTCTTCATTGGCGATTCCAGGCGATTGAACAATTCTGGAATTAAAATACTTGACTAAAACAATATAAAACACCTCAAAATGGGTAAAAACAGGTCGAACTAGGTAATAAAATCGCCGGCACAAAAGCGTTGAGTCCAACACCTGCTCCTCAACATTGCGCGCATGCCGTTTTTCAAAGGAACATCAAAAACATTGCACATTTTCCTTCACATCTACCTAAATGCGAAAAAAACCGTCGAAATCAAAAAAAACTTACATCAGTGTTACCCAAAAGCGTCTGAAGGGGTATTGTCACGATCCACAAGACCCAACAGCCTTGTTCCCAGCTTTTGAACATGAATAAAACCTCAATTCTTCTTGTCAACAACATGTTCGAGAGAAATTCTCAATTATTTTTTGTATTTATTTTTTTCGCGGGATTTTCGCAACTTTTGGCGAGGCGCACCTCCAAGCCGTAAAAATCCGCGTTCAAATGTAGTTGTTTTGGTCCTTTAAAAAAATCTTCTCTCTAGCCCAATGCTGATAAAAATCTTACAAAAATAGAAGCAACAAGGTCTTCTATGTAGATTGTGTTATTATCATCACGTCTTGCTGATATTAATACTAATTGAACCGGCCACATTTTCGTCATCAAAGGCAACGCCCAATAAGTCGTCATCAAATAGTTGTCAGAAAATCTTGATGAATATTCTGGAGGCTTTTAATTAAATGCCCTGATAAGACCCGATGGTTTAAGTGTGCCGTGGGAGTACGGTTTGTGATGGGATCCGTTAAAATTGGTGCTACACATACGAATAGATTAACAACGCCTAAAATAAGGAACAAGAGTATAGGCTACGTGTTTTTTTCGGGATTGGTTAGGCTCACAACGGACAAGAAATCACTAGCGAAGTGATTTCGGGTAGATCATGTCAAAGAGTAGGTCATTTATCAGACTGTCGGGAAAATAGTCAGCACTGTCGCGCCGAAAATCGAATCGCCGCCCAGAAAATGAATTGTGGCGAAAAAATGCTGCTTTTCACTTCAGCCACGCGATTGGTGCGGCGGCGTTGTGCTCATTATTTTACCGACAGTCTGATATCAGCCTTTCCGGATTGTCACTAGACTGATTTTTTTCCACTGTGCGAGAAACGTCGTTGTACGGGCGACTGCTCAAAAAGGATTGTTACACGGTGTAAACAAAAGTTTTGTTGTCCCACATTTCGCGTACCCTCTCGGCGTCAAAGATAGCTGAATATTTCGGCTGAGCCTGCACTATGCGAGCTTAAGTTTTCAGGAATTGATATTAGTATGTACCGGACGTATGTGCGGAGTTTAACGAAAATCTGAGTGTCGCACTTGGTGCCGTTCTTTGTTTATAGGCATTTGAGTTTCTGTATTTTATGTTCTTTACCATAGATTTGCAGCCTTTTTTTCTGATGCAAAAGTTGCGGAAAATGTCACTTTCCTTGCTTGTAATTTCTTTGGTTATCTATCATTTTAGTTTTCGGCCATTTTTTTCTTGTTTTCATCGATTTATACAGCAATAAAAATATTACTATTTACAATAGCAAAAATCACAAGGATAAATCCTAGTTTAATCTATCGCTTTTTCGCTGAAAATCGCAAAATGAAATACGAAAGAATATGTAGTACATCGAAATGCCATTTAATTATTGATATTTCTTTTTTTCTACACTGCTTGTATATTTTGGATTTTTGCGCAAAGCCGCTTAACGGCTCAAAAGTCTAAACGCATCTTTCACAATAAAAAAGCATGCCGAACCTCGGCCTTCAGACGGGGGAAATTACATGAAAACTTGTGGTACATCGGATAATTTGTTTTGGGCAATCAACGGGAGCCACTGTTTGTGGATAAACAACAGTAAAGTAGAATAACGTGATACCATGAAAGAACGCGGTCTTTAGCCGCGAAAACGTACTAGTTGTACGAAAGATCAGCAGCGACCAAAGGTTTTTTCGGCGTGTACGGTCGATTGAAAGAAATATGTTATCGTATCATCTATAATACATTTATTTTGTCGATGACAGCTCCTGTCGAAATTAGAAAGTAATAAATATCAGTCTGTCTGGAAAATAATGTGGATTTGTCGCGGAAAAAATATCTCGCCTCGTCCATGTCGCGAACCAAATCATCAGCCGCGGCTAGCCGTCGCAAAGCGATGAGATGAGATTCCAAGGCGCGACAAATCCACATTATTTTCCCGACAGATTGATGTAGCACTTTCCATCAGTCTGTCGGAAAAATAATGAGCACAATGTCGTCTGGTCGATGTCGAGCATCAAATCATCAACCGCGGCTAACCGTCATAAAGTGATGATCGCCATTTTCAAATTTTTCTGGCGCTAAAACGGCTTTGACCTCAGCTGAAGTAAGGATATGTAATCTTTATAAAACGGCATGTAGCCTGTCTTTCAGAGGACTGGCAGATCGACTACTGGTATTTTTCTCCAATTCTCGCGGTCCGGAAAATCGTCAGATCGAATCTTTGTCTTTCGGAAATAGTTTCGCAATCACTTCGCTCACAGGGGAAGTGCTCCAAGTGCCACGCTCATATTTTCTTTAAATTTTGCACACACGTCGGGTATGGACTAAATATCAATTCCTGAAAGTTTTAGCTCGCGCTTTGCGGGCGCCGCCGAGATATCAAAGGATTTTTGCCGCCGAGAGAGCACGCTGAACGCGGAGAGCGGTCAGAGAACGTACACTTTTTTGGCCATAGCTTTGCCAGTTTCGCGCAGAAAAATCAATTTTGGGGGAAACATTACACCCTATCGTAGAAATAGGCATGAAACTTTTCGTGCCGAAATTCGGCAAAAGGTCTTAAATTTTCGCCGACTTTTGATATAAAAATCTCGGTTGTTTCTGCAAAACGCGAGCTAGGATTCTCGCATATATCTTAGAAAAAAATTATTCTGAATTTGTGCCAAGTTTCATCAAAATCTGAGCGTCGCACATGGGGTACTTCCCTTGTCAGCTGAAGTAAGGATTTGTAATCTTTATAAAACGGCATGTAGCATGTCTTTCAGAGACTGGGCAGATCGACTACTCGTATTTTTCTCAAATTGTCGCGGTCCGGAAAATCGCCAGATTGAATCTTTGTCTTTTGAAAATAGTGTTGAAATCACTTCGCTAAACAGAAAAGCAATTTGATTTTGTCACAACACAATTCATTTTCTCTGCGGCGATGCGGCAGAGTGCACATTATTTTCCCGACAGACTAATATTTCACATTTTCTCAGACGGAAAAATGGAAAGACTTCAATTATCTTTGATCTCTTCCATAAATCCTCTTCATTGCCCTTTAATAATCTACGTGTTGTTTATTGTGTTTTGAGGGGAATGAAACGGAAAGCGGGGCCAACGACCGACCGCTCTGATTTCGCTTCAAAATTGCCGGAAAAGCCGTTAAGCAGCGGGGAACAAAACAATCCGATCTTGCTCTATAATCTATTCTTAGACGCTGTAAAATTTGTTACAAGCAGGGGAGAGAATTATGAATTTCATTTGCACAAGGAAGTAGTCCAAGTGGGACGCTCAGATTCGGACGAAACTTGGGAGAAATTTAGAATAAGTTCTTCTATGGCATATGCAAGACATTTGGCTGGCGCTTTGCAAAAATAATCAAAATTTTCAGGTTAAAAAATGGCAAAATATCAAACTTTTTTTGCGAATTTTGCCATGAAAAGTTTTATGCCTATTTCTACTGTAGAGAGTAATGTTTCCACAAAAAATCAAGTTTTACCGCACAAAACTGGCAAAGATATGGCCAAAAAGCGCTCTTCTTTGACCGCTCTCCTCATTTCTTGTACTCTCTCGGCCGCAAAAATCGTTGAATATCTCAGCCGCCCTTGCAAAGAGCGAGCTAAAATTTTTAGGGATTGACATTTGACCTATGACCGAAGCGTGTGCAAAATTTGAACCAAATCTGAGCGTCGCACTTGAGGTATTTCCTTCGTTTACTTCCTTCGTAACAGGCATTTTGATTTTTGTACATTTCGAGCTGCTTGCCACAGAACAGCCATTTTTCTGATGTAAGAGTTGTGGAAATAACACTAGATACAAAAAAACCCCTTCAATGCGGCTACAAAATTTATGACCTCTGCA